GCCAGACCTTCAGGAATAGAAGATGGACTTTGAAGAAGCAATAGTTCAGGAGATCCAGCTGATAATTTTACAACCTTGGAATATATATTCTCAGTTTACTTAATGTTTTGTCAAATTACTAAGTGGAAGGTATATTAGTTTCCCACATTAACATTTTACAGCATAGACTACATCTCCAACTAGGACATTTTTCTGGGAGCTAAACAGATAAGTACTGTACTAGAAAAGACTTAACACTGAATGCAGACAGAGCCTTACTGTTAACCTGATTACCAAATAATAATTACCATTATTTTTCTTCCTTTGAACTCCAGAATAATACATGATCTTCCTACTTCTTGTCCAGCTCCACTGTAAACATTCAAGGGAAGAAATACAAATGATTAAAAAACAATTAAAATGAAGCCCAATAAATTCAAAGTTTTTTACAACTTAAACTATGTCCCATGTGATGACAGCACTCACTTGAGGCAGATGACAGTCCCACAAAATTACAAAGATAGGGAAGAAAAGTGTCAATGTGGGAAAAGATAAAAAGTGACTTCAGGGATCTTTTAGTTGTTCAAATTGTGAGAGAGGGTGATTTAGAACCAAGAAGCTCAAAGGTTAAATCCAACCTTCTGAATGTTAGGGTTAAACTATGATGTACTTAAAATGTAAACTAGTGGTGATTAAATTATTCAATGATACTTTTAGAATGAGCACTTAAGTGTAAACCCATAAGCACTTCAAAATTCTTTCATTTTTTAAAAAGATAATACACACTTACCAAATAGCTTAAATTTAAGTAGGCTTATCTTATTCATACCTGTGAATCTGTCTCTTTTCCTTCTACATCCTGTTATTTCATTATATTTTATACCAAGGACTTAAACAATTTTCCCTTCTTCTTATATTAATAAAACAGCCTTATTTTCCAATTACCAGAAGGCTTTAAGTGAAACCTCACCTGTTTTTCAAATCCCTCACCTTCTTCGATGCCTTTCCCCATTTCTAGCTCACAACGCGCCCACTCACTCGCTAAGCAGTTTGTCTGCCAAGCGCTGTATTAAGTACCCAGCATATGGAAATGTCCGATACCAGGAACCTGACCTCAAGAACTCGTTGTCTACTAAGAGACAGGCATCAGATGCATCTATCTTCAAAACAAGGTCCTACTTCAGAGGATGCCGATAAAGAAAATCAAACCACTGTGGTGAAACCAAGAATTCCTGGCCTTCCATTTTAACTGGCCTCTAGGCTTCGTGTGTGTGTGTGTGTGTGTGTGTGTGTGTGTGTGTGTTGGGGGGGTGGTTTCCATTTATTTACTTATTTATTTTAATGGAGGTACTGGGGATTGAATCTAGGACAATCCCTCTTAAGAGTGTCCCTAGTTCTGTTTCTCCTACAGTTAGCGTAGTAACTATTTCAAACTTTCTCTCCTAAATTTTCCAGCCCTCAGTCCTATTCCACTAGAAGCCTGGGCTTTCTCTGCATGAAAAAATTATGCTGTCTACTTGTCAATTTCCTCCAGTTCACTTACCAACCCACCTGCATCTTTCCTTCCACTTCTCCTGTACAGGGACCTTTCTAAGGCTAATCTTCCCACCACGGTTCTACACCCTGCACACTCCCTCCTTCGGAGGAACTGACTCCTGCTACATCACTGGCTTTTCCCTGTCCTCTCTTGGTCATCGGTGTTTTAACAGGCCAGTCATGCCCATCCCCAAATTAAAATCCTTTCATTCAAATTTCCTTTAGTTTCCACTTTATTCCTTTTCTCTGCCCGCTTCTAAAAGCTGTGCACACTCTCTGCCTCTATTTCCTCATCTCCCCTCAACCCACTGCAGTCTGGCTTTTTACCAACTACTCTCTGAAATCCTCCTTGCAAAGCAGCTCTTTGTTGCTGAGAGCAAACAGCCCTTGTTAGTCCTCGTCTAACTCATTCTCCCGGCAGCACGTCATCCCTCCTTCTCCGACTTCATGCTCTCCTCCTGTCCTGCTGGTTTTCTGCCTTAGTTTCCTTCATTCAGCTGCTTCTGCCCATCCTTCCAATGCTGATATTCTGAGGGTTCTCTCTTTGGCCCTCTTCTCAGTTTTCCTGATCTTCATTTTCACATTTGCTGATTTCCAAATCTGTATTTGTAGCCCAGATTGTTCCCTCGAATTCCAGACCTCTAATAGTCACCTGGAGTTGGTATCTCCACTGGGACACCTCACAGGCACTTTATACTCAAATATGCCAAACAAACTTGCACCTCAAGTCTCTTGCCCTTGCTCTTTCTTCCTGGAGTGCTCTGCCCCCAGATATTTACAAACTGGCTCCTTTGTATCCTTTGGGTCTCAGTTCGAATGTCACCTCATCTGCCCTTCACATTGTTCTGTCATAACACAACTACATGAAGTTATTGGATCTACTTATTTATGGCTATTTCTCACTATTAAAATGAAAGCTCCTAACAGCGGAGACATTGTCTGTTCCATTCACCACTGTATACCTACAGTGCCTGACGTGCAGTAAATCTCAAGAAATATGAATAAAAACTCCCAAATCATGAACCTTGGAAACATTATGCTAAATGAAAGAAGCCAGTCACAGAAGGTTACATACTGTAACCCATTATAGGAAATGTGCAAAACAGGATAATCTGTAGAGAGGGAAAGTAGATCAGTGGTTGCCTAGGTCTGGGGAAGCTGGGGGAAAATGGATGTACGGGCTTCTTTTTGGAATGACAAAAATGTTCCAGAATTAGATAGTGGTGATAGTTGTAAAACTGTGTATATATTAAAGAACCATTGCTTTGTACACTTTAAATGAGTGTTGATGTAAATTCAATCTCAATAAGGCTGTTATAAAACAACGAAACTCTCCAGTTTACCCAGACCTGCCCCATCTCCTATACTCGTTGAGTGATAACTCGATCATTTACCAGGTATCCAACCTAGGAATCGGACTCGCCCTAACACTCCTTTCTGCCCTGCCTTCCCTCCCCACAACTGCCCCTTCCAAGATATCTGATCAGTTACAATGTTCTAGAGATTTCATTTCCTTACACTCTCAAACCTCTTTCCAAACCACTAGTGCTCATTTCACTCATTCTAGGCTCTCACTGCTTATCACTTGGATGATTTCAATTTCATCCTACTGAATTCTCCCACCCTTTCATCTGCTACACTGCTGCTAGGAGCATCTTCAATCTTCCCAAAACAATTCCCACCACATCCCATCCTTGCTTAAAATCCCTCCTTGGCTCCTTATAACTGGCAATAAGAACCCCAAATCCTTAGTCTGTATACAAGGTCCTTCATAAACTGGACCCCGACAGCCTCTACCATCTCATGTGCTAGTCTTTTGGCTGCAGTCATGAGGATTCTGGCCACAAACCGTGACCTCTCATCCTCACACGTGCCACTTTCTCCGCCTGGAACATCCTCACCACCCCTCCACCTTCAGCTGTCTTTAATTCCTACTCATTCTTTAGGACTCAGCTCATGCGTCATGTTTTCCAGGATGCAGTAGATAGCGTTCTCATCTCACTCTGCTGGAATTCCCTCCTCCATGGCCTCAGTGCAATACCTACCTGTACTCTTACAGTAATCACCATTGATTGAGAACCTACCATGAGCTTTACTCAACACAGTTCAGTGTTGCTATATTATTTCCACGTGAGGAAATGGGTTCAGTGAGGTTGCTGTCCTAGTAATCGAGTATGGATTAGATTTCAAGTCTGACTCCAAAGTAATGGTTTTCTATTATTCCAAATTATCACTTCAGTACTTTGCACCTGGCATTGCAATTCCCTCCAAAAGGGTGAATTCACTTAACTCAGCCCTCTGTCTTATTTGTATCCCCAGTGCCTAGTGTGGTGCTTGACGCTTGCTCAGTGCTTGCTGAATACAGGGAGAGAGGACAGGTGTGAACTAAGCAGTGGTAAACTTGTGTTCTGTCCCCAGTAGGTGCTCACCAAGTCCTTATTAAATGAAGGTGTAAAGGAGATACTTTCTACCTTTTGAAAAACGCACACATTCGTGTGGTGCTAACTCATATCTAACAATAAACATGTTTGTGGATTCAAACTGCTCATTTATAGAATAAGCTGCCTACATTTGTATTTCCCTTTCTAAGCAGTGTTCCAGATCTGTAAGGTGGTCATTTCCAATTAAAGACTAGCCTTCTCACGGACAATCAAGGGCTGAGATTTTCGTCCTTAACACCTCTGCTATTTCTCCTCTCCGACTTTCCACCTTCCTTATTCTCCTAGAGTTTGAGTTCTGAATGGAACTTACATCAAGTCCCTAGTTTATTTCGTGTTTCACATCTTGAAAAATATCAAGTCCTGGAGGTAAGAAACAGACTTAGTTCTTCCTCGCACTGCTACAGCCTTATCCAGATCCTCATCTCCTCCTGCCATCCTCAGCATCACCGGTTCCCTTAGAGACTGCTACTCTTTGGTGCATATGAAAACGCCAAGCGGCTCCTTAAACCATTTCCCCTCGCCCTCCAATTCCAACATATTCTCCTCCCTTGAGACTGAAGAAAAAGCAAAATCCCATTCAACCTAGCAGGCCCCTTCCGATCAACAGTTCTCCAAACCCCTTCAGCCGGAGAGGCCTGGCCCGCAACTGCGGACCCAGGGCAGGCTGCCGAGGCGTGCTGGCGTCGGGGCGACTGAGGAAGCCAACCATCCGGTTACCCTCCTCGCCTCACAGCAGTGGCTGCATTCCGTCTCTCGCTGGTCCCTTACAGGGGTCGGATCAGCAGCTGGTCACTCTCCTCCGCAGGAATCGCAGACATCTCAGAAGTCTGAAGGCGAAGCAGGGATGAGGAACAAACAGGTCGCCGGAGTCTCTAAATTGAAAGAGCAGCCACAGGGAACCAAAGAAAGAACCTCAACCACTGAGAGCACAACTTCCGGCACCACGGCGCCCGCGACCCTAGGCTCCTCCCTCCGACTTCCGGGCGGAGATCTGGGCTCGCGAGGCTCCTCCCCACTATGAGTCCAGGAACCTGGGGCGGGGTCAGGACTGCGCCTGCGCGAGGCTTCGGAGGCGGGGCCCGGAGGGTTGGGTTACGGGGCCGGAAAAGCTGGCGCTGGAATTAGAACGGGAGTGGCCGTTGCGGCTCTGGCTGCCGGGGCGGTGGGTGTCTGACCTCGACCCGAGGCGGCTGTGAGGTGAGACCCCGGCCCTCGCCGCGCCCTGCCTGGACCTGGCCGGGAACCGGGACCCCGAGGGCGGCGCCGGCGGGGAGCCCTGCGGGGGAGCGGATGGGTGGGGCCGCGCAGTCTCCGCCGGGACCCGCCTTCCCTGGGTGGGGGACCCAGGCCCCGAGGCGGCGCGGGCGGGCAGCTGGAGCGAAGGAGCGGGCCTGGGCCTGCGGGAGGAGACAGTGCCCCAGTGCCCAGTCCCTGTCTGGGGAGGGACTGCAGCTCCGGTGAGAACCGATGCGGTGTGTGGATGGGTCCCGTCGGAAGGGTGACGGAGTGGGAGCATCCGCGGGGCTGCTCCCCGTGTCAGGCTCTGATTCGAGGAGCGGTGACGAGCGCCCACTCTTTGTGCGGGCTCCTGTTGTTTCCCCATCCTTTGGGGCTTCACCCTCTTCCCCCGCTGCACGGGGCGGGCGGGGTTGTGTCTGTTTTGTTTACTGTCATCAGGAGCACTAGCACGTGGCGAGCGTTCCGCAACAGCGAAGAATACCAGGGGACCACGCGGGGGTGTAGGGAGAGTTTTGGAGCCAGCTCGATCAAGTTCCAAACTTTGCCCCACCCATTATTAGCCTGGCGACCTTTCGCAAGCAGCTTAATAAACTTTGAGCTTTGGCTGCTTCATTTGAAAGGGCTGTAATACTGTAGCCTTGCTGGTCAGTAGACAGGGTCAGAGGTACATATGGCACCTAGCACTGGGCGGCACACGGTAGGCTCTCACTATGTGGGAGTTGTCATCTGGGTGTTATCTCACAAGAAGGTTCTCCAGTTCATTAAGCATGTCCTCTGCCAGGCTGTGGCAGGCGTTGAGTATAGAGAGCTAAGTGACCTAGCCGCCATCCCCCCCACCACCTCCCCCCCCCCCGCCTCCGCCTGTGAGGAGTTCAGGTTCAGAGTGAGATAGTTAAAAGCAGGCAGTAGCAGACTCATGCTAAGATGAGGGTATAAACTCAAGCTGTGAAAGACATCCCTTAGCCCAGCCTGGAGATCCAAGAGAGGCTTCCAAAAGATGCAGCCTTAACTGAGTCTTGAAAGGAGGCTGTCGTTAGACTGAGTGAATAGTGGGTGGAAGGGCATTCCAGGCAGCGGGACTGGCAGGAGCACAGCGTGGAAACGCGGAGCGCCATGCACGCTGACAACCGCAAGCCGTTTTGCTTTAAGTGTGAAGCTGCTACTGGAAGATGAGACTGGAGAGGTACATAGGGCCGGGTTATGGAGGACCTTGCATGTCCCGGCAAAGAGCTTTGACTTCAGTCTCTAGCTTTGGGATCCAGCGAAAGAGTTTAAGCAGGTTAGTGGCATCTGACTTGAGTTTTAAAGAAATCATTTTGGATAGAGCTTGGTGATAGATTTGAAGTGGCAGAGTCTGGCTGGACAAGGTCTCACATCTGTGAAATATCTCCTGGGGGCTTGTAAATTTCCTTAAATTTTGCATTCCAAACTGCGTTTTTATGGGATAAGGGTCCGTTGCTTTCATCAGATAATGGGAAAGTATTTATATGTAGCAGTAGTCTGTGGTGATGAGGGGTCACTTCGGGTGGTGTATTCAGTGAATCTTGGGTTTGATTGGATGTGGGGGCTGGAGGACAGAGAGGAGTCCCTGATTTCCCCGTTTCTACCAGAAACAATGTAATTTCCTGAAAGGGAGAGGAGCGGGAGAAGCAGGTATGGAGGGGAAGATGATGGGTTCTGCTTTAGACATTTTTGCATTTGATGAGTATGTGGAACATCCAAATGACAGTATCTTTGGCCTCATTTTTATGTATGAATAATTTAGAGAGAAGAATGATTTACTTAATTAAGAACATGCATCAAAAAAGTAGCAGATAGCAAAGCTTTAATAAATGCTTTTCCCTTAAGCTCCTAGTTTGATGATGAAAAGGGAGTCTTAAGGAGTTGCAAAGGGCCTTAAAATATACTATAGTGATTTTCAAATCATTCTAGTATTCTAGGGATTTGAAGAGATGCTTCAGGATTACATAACAATAGTATCAAATTTTAAAAAATCATATTTAAAATTGTTATATATAAATAGCATTTATATATACTTAAAATATAATGTGTTTATATAGACTATACACCAACATTTTAACCCATCAGAGACCACTAACATGGTACTTTATTATGCTAGGTTAACCCAGTTTTGTGCAGACCTTGGATTAAGGCTCTCTTGCCTTTTCTTTCTAACTGAGAAGTGTCCTGTGATGACAAGGCCGTCGTTTGCAACAAATTATCCACAGTAGCCTTCCAAGTAGTCTCTCTCTTTCTCCTCTTGTCCTGTGCCCTACCCAGCAGGCAGTCATCTTTCTAAAACAAATCTGATCACATCATTTGACTGCTTTTTAAAATCCTCTAGAGTCTTCCTGTGAAACCCAAAGTAAAACTCCAACTTTTGCCGTGGCCTGCAAGCCCTGTGATCTTTTTCGCCTGTCACCCTGCCTGCTCCTCCTGCTCTTAGTTGAGTTGGCCTCTCACCGGTCCCTCTGTCAGACGTGATTCCTCAGGACCTTTGCACTTGCTCTGCCCTCCACTCATACTGCTTCTCCTCCATGTTCATGGCTGCTCCCACGTTCCTCAGGGCTCAACTCTCACTTCCTCAGAACATCTTTTTCTATCTGAACTAGTCACCCCTTCCTTTAATCAGAACATCTTTTTCTATCTGAAATAGTCACCCCTTCCTTTAATTGCTCTCGATCTTATCTTGCTTTAGTTCCCCTCATAGACATTACTGTTTCCTAATAATGGGTTTTATATTTGGTTTGCTTGTTGGTCTGTCCATTCCCCCTAAAAATGAGCTCCCTGATATCTGTCTTATTTGCTGATGTATCCCCAGCACCTGGTGGATGCTCATCAGCAACTCAGGAGTGAATGAATCATTCAGATGTTCTTGCTGCTCCACAAGTTAAGCAAAAATACAGAAATAAATTGGGTAATGGGGCTGATTAAAAAGCTTGGGCCCAGGAGTCAGTCTTGGGTAAGTGGCCTAAAGTCAGACGAGTGGACTTAAGAGCAGGGTCTCCAGATTCAGTGGGAGAAGCTTCATTGGACAGTTACTGAGCACCCTGTGACTTATTCTTTCTTCTTTCTCCTTCACCAGGTACATTGTTTTTCTGACAAGAACTGACCATGTGAGAATGAAAGGAAGCTATCTGTGTAGACCGCTATCTGTGGAACCTTCGAAGACGATAAAATCATCTTCAATTCTGTAGTAAGCTCCCTTATTCCCTCTGTAGGATCCAATTTTTAGTGAACATCTATTAGGTTATCTACTCATAAACCCTCCTGAAAGGTGAGTAACAGTTCCCTCGTCTATAAACTGCAGGTTCTAAGCTACCTTCTGTACATCCCCTGAGGGTGGGGCCCAGAGCCCCAGCAGGGTATGTGGCACAGACGACCCTCGGGAAACACCTGGGACAGATGAATGTGTCACCAGGTTGCTGTGAGGATAAAGTGAGACAGTGTACTTGAAAGTACTGGAACTCGGAAACATGACGCTGGCTAGTTGGCAATTTTCCGAGTATGATCTATGTGCCCCTATGAGAAGGGCCAGGATAAATCATTCATTTAAAAGAATATGAAAACGAATTTATGTATGTATATGTATGACTGGGACACTGTGCTGTACACCAGAAATCGACACGTTATAACTGACGGTACTTCAATTAAAAAAAATAAAAATTAAAGAAAGATATATATAAGACAGACTCTGGGCAACTTAAGGTCACCTCCTGCCCTGGCCTTACGGGAACCAGGAGGTGAGAGCCAGCACCTGGCGATGTTCTTCTGTCAGCTTTTACCTAAAGATAATTTGAGACTTCAGAAAAAATGCCCATTTCCGAGAGGTACCGATTCCTTCTGTTCTCAGCCGGCTGTTTACAGACTGTGTGCTGGAGACGGTAACCGAATCTCAGGATCTTGGTTGGTAAATTAATTATGTCACGTATTTTACTAATGTCTTGAATTGACTAAAGAGAAGTAAGGTACTTGAATATTTTGAGAACTAGATCACATATGTCTGTTAATTCTGAACAGGGCTTTTCACACTTCCTTATATGACAAGAAGGCTTCTGCCTTTTTGGTTCATCGGGGTAGACTTTTGTGATTCAGAAAGAGAAAAAGAATGAAAAAGAACAGTGTCTAAATTTTGTGGTCAACGGAAAATATTTATGTTATAAGTAAAAGGAACATGCCGTGGACCTGGAAGGAATTGCTGGGCTTTATTTATTTTTGTTCCTATTATGCGTAAAATTATTTAAAGTTGCTTTTCTTAATCTACCTAAACAACATTTGTGTTTCCAGGGCAGCGCCTGTGGACCAAGCTATGGTGGAAGATGTTCCGGAAAGGCAAAAAGCGCCACAGCAGCAGCAGCTCCCAGAGTAGTGAGATCAGTACTAAGAGCAAGGTAGGGGCAGGGGACTCGGGGACAGAACCGCAGAGCGGCGGGAATTCTGTTCTTTCTGACACCGCAGAAGGGGGACTACGCACGGCAGGCCTGCTGGTAGTCTTCAAACCGGATGTTCTTAACATTCGTTTTCTTGCACTCGAGACACATTCTGCGCTTGATTTAATTTGTTTTGGTAGATTTTCTTAAATTCTTAAATCCGCCAACCTAGGTGGGACAGGCCCTTTGAATGGTCTCACTGAAAAACTGATTTTTAAAAATTTTGTACTTGATAGAAATTGCAGGCAGTTAAGGAGCTGGATCTCTTGACTTCTCGGGTCATGATGCGTGTGTGCGTAACTATAGTTCTGTTTATGAAATGGAGTCAGTTGGCTAGTGAGGCAATGCTGTAATTGGAAGCCTAGTGGAGCCGAGTGTTTGAGTGTATGGGGCCCTCAGAGTCCTGAGTCCTGGTCCACTGGACTGAGCCTCCTGGTGCCCACATCTTTACTATAAGAGCCTTTTTATCATCCTGCACCCTTGTGAGCTCTCACTTTTGAAAGACGTGTGTGCTCAGTGCCAGGACTTGGTGAGGCAGGAGGAGGGCCCGTGGCCCTGTGCACGGAGGGGGTGCCGCCCTCCAGGGACCCTCTCCCCGGCCCAGGGGTAGCACACTGAGTGGTGATGGCCCCACTCAGTGCAGGAAGGGCACAAGACTGCCACTTGGGACTTCCAGCAAGAGCAGCATGTGGTCACTGAGCTGTCAGCACCAAGCCAAAAGCACAGAAACCTGACAGTGGAGGAATCCTGTGCAGGCTTGGAATGGGGAAATGGACAGTCTTCTTTAAGGTTTTTGAACTCCTGAAGCTAGTCAGGGAGTTACCTAAAGCGTAAGGACCTCAGCCAGGGAATCAGTGGCCAGGCCCAGCTTCCTGTTTTCTAGATCAAAAAATGGATAAAGGGAGATTTATTGACTTGCTGTTCACAGAGCAGGATCAGAGCCCGTGTTCTGATTCCTGAAGGACCTTGCTGACTCAGGCAGGTGCAGGGCAGGGCTGGAGTGTGGCAGGAGGGGCCACATGTCTTACCCCGAAGGTGATGGTGAGCCCTGAGGGGCTTCTCAGCAGAGCTGTGACTGTTAGGTCTGTGTTCTAGGATGACGTAAGGTTTTGCTGTTGTAATTCTGAACCCGGGGAAAACAGGCCAGTCTCTCCCTTCCTGCTTTCCTTGTTCAGACGGTCACTGGGTTCTGGCGTTTTCCTCTGCAGGGGGTAGTTTGAAGCACAAAAGCTCACTCTGTTACTCGCTTCCCAGAAGCCAGCCTGAATTTGTAACAGCTTCTTAATTCCAGCTCCCTTTCTCTCACCCGTTGAATATTTAGGTCTTTTCCAATTTCTCAGTACCATACAGACATGATGCTGAACATCTCTGTGTGTACAGCTCTGCTGTTATTTTAGATTAGATTCCGAGAAGTGCAATTATTAAAAAAGGAAAGAAGTAATATTTAAGACTTGATTCATTTTTACATTCACCTTGATTCACATTCTTAAATGTTTAAAAAATTTTAGTGTACTTTTAAAATTTAATTTTGATTTGAAGTGTAAATGAGTGACTAACTTTTTTAATCAAAAGTTTCCAGTGTTATTTCTAGAAAATTAAGCACATTGAGAGTGTGATGCTGTAGAACAGACTTCACTAACGTGTGATTCTTTGAATTTTGCTCGACAGTTTTGTTAGTTTTCCTTTGTAATTCACACTGACAGTTGCACTCTGGCCCGCCCTCGGCCTGTGTTACCTGTTGTGGGCCAGGTAGTCACTGAAGTCATTGCAGGGGTTCTGGGTGGGAATTCGGGGACCTCAGCTTGAGATCTGGGCTGTTTCCTAGATGTAACCTTGGGTCAGTCACCTCGCCTGACTGCGACTCTTTGCTCATTCACTAAACAGGGTAATCCTCTCTGCCCACTTTCTGCATAGGGTTTGTGTTGGGTTCTGTGCAGATAACATGAAAGCAAGGTGTAGATTTTCACATACGGTATAAATAACAGGTACCTTATAAGGAGATAGAGGTAGTGGCTTCGATTTAGACTCGGAGCGCTGACTCTGCCTGTATCTAATACAGTGCTGTGAAAAGCAGCTGGGATTCTTTTTTTTTTTTTTTTGAAGTTTGCTATGGAATTTGTCTTTAGAAAAATCCGTGACGGTCTATCTGCTTGAATAACTGACCTGACTTTATATGTGTTGATTCAGCTGTAAGAAATGAGTAATTTGAATGGTAAAGAAGATAGTGCTTCTAATTACGTTTAAAAACGTTATGTTTTAAATTTGGCAGTTTGGAGATTTGCAGATGTTAACCACTATATATAAAAATAGATTAAAAAAAACAAGTTTCTTCCGTATAGCACAGGGAACTATAGTCAATATCTTGTAGTAACTTTTAATGAAAAAGAATATGAAAACGAATGTACGAATGTACGTGTATACATGTGTGACTGGGGCATTGTGCTGTACACCAGAAGTCGACACGTTGTAACTGACTGTACTTAAATAAAAAATTTTTTTAATGTTATGTTTGTTTGTTATTTCTCAGTCTGTAGATTCCAGCCTTGGGGGCCTTTCACGGTCCAGCACCGTTGCAAGCCTCGATACGGATTCTACCAAGAGTTCAGGTATGGAGACTGCTTAGATCATTTATGGTCTTGTTAACTGATGTTCTTACAATTTACCAGGGCAGCACAAGGGCTTCTTGCGTATTGGGGGTTTTCTTTCTTAGCTGTGCCGTTTTTGCAAGAGATTAGAAATGGCCACGATCTGGTGGGACGGGGGTTGGGAGTGCGGAAGGATTGGTGAAAACCGTGGCCTTGCAGCAAACTGCTCTTAATGGTCCTAGAGCAAAAGTGTGTGGAAATTTAGGAGTGTCAAAATGGCTTTGTCAGAAATGGACTGGCAGAGTGTGAATTATACTGGAATGAATATTGTTTGTGGGGTGTGGGACAGTGTCTTGCTGATTACAGAGATCAAGGAGCCCTCTGCTCAGAGATCTGCCGGCTCGTTAATGTCAGGAGCACACAGTGAAGGGGAGCATCTGTCACAGACCCTCGGAAACATTTATGCAGCCACTTGAAGTGAGCAGCCCTTCTGAAGTCAGAAGGTGGCTCCTGAACCACCTGTTAGCTGACATCTAGTTGGAAACCTACTGCATTCATTTTCTTGTATGCAATCCTTGCACTTTTCCTTTTGGGATCATAGACTACTCGGTCTATAAAAGTGTTGGGAGCGAGCAGGAGAGAAAAGCATATGATGCAAAAGGGAATTTAGCAGCATAAGGTATAAGGTCTATTATCTGTACTTCCGGATACCTTTAAAGTATTAAAAATGTGGGCATCTTTTTAGTATGTGAACATAATCTAGCAGTAACCATGCAGTATTTCCTTACTACCGATGATAGATATTGTAAAGCTGCCTGGAATTTATGGCGTACATAGTTCTCCACTTGTTACCATCCATTATGTAAGGAACTTCCTGTCTGGCATTATTCCATCTACGTTAAAAGAAAAAAAATAAAAGTCTGGTCTTTTCTGACTGAATGGGGGAGGTATATCAGGTTTCCTGAATCAGGAAAGAGTTAAAAGTTCACATGATAAAGAGGGAAAAGAAACAAAAATAATTAAATGTCATATGCACTTATAAGGGTTATTATCTCTTTGACGTTTTATTTTTCTTCTTTGTTTTGAAATGAAGGCTGTTAATACTTCATTTACTTCTACTGAGGTTTTTATACATTAGCATATTGTGAATCACTGAGGAAAAGTTTAGTGAAATTTTAAGTTCTCTCTCATTACATCAGAAAGTTTGCATTTTCAAATTTTTTATTTTTATTAAAGCTTAAGCTCTGATGACGCAGTCTGCTTCCTGTTGGGAAGGGGTTGAGGACACCCCACAATGCAGCTGTTTCTTTCGAAGTCTTACTCTGCTGTTTTTCTTCCACCTCTAGGGCAAAGCAACAATAATTCAGACACCTGTGCAGAATTTCGAATAAAATATGTTGGTGCCATCGAGAAACTGAAACTCTCTGAGGGAAAAAGTCTCGAAGGGCCACTAGACCTGATAAATTACATAGATGTTGCTCAGGTAAAAAAAAAAAAAGTTCAATTTTAAAAGATTCTGGCGTGCACTCGTGGCTTTGGAGGGAGATGCTGCTCTTCAGGTCTTTTCGCTGTCTTCTCCTGAAGCCGAGCTCTTACTGCTGTTAAAATCTCACTGAGCGCTGTGGTCAGAGGAGGCACAAGGTGTCTTGGAGACAGAGTCACAGAAGAACAGAGACACAGGTCTTCCGTCACACAGCACTGCTAACTTTTTCTAGGGCTGACTGACCTCTTCGTTTAAATGGGGGAGCTGAGGGCGGGGACCAGGTACACAGCTAGTCTGTCTTTAAAACAATCTGGCAAGTCTTACTGTATCTCCGTTGAACTAGTTTCCACTCTTTGGATGAATAACCTAACTCAGAGTGGTGTTGGCGTACTGTATCTATTTATTCATATCCTGTTTCCAACGAGAATTGAGGTGAGGTGGGTTTCAAAAACATATCCTAGTCAAGAAGATAAACCATCATGAAGGAAAATTAAGACAAATCAAAGGTAGAGGGTTTATGCATAAAACATGGTAAGCGGTGTACCCTCACCAGTGTTGGAAGTGGATGAGCCAGAAGATATAACACTATCAACAGTTAGTAAATTGTTTCTCAGGTTTCTAGAAAATGGACTTGCCTGTCTTTGTGTTCGTTAACGAAGGGAAATTACCGCCATGGAAAGATTCCCTTACACAGTGTTGGTTACTCTTAAGAATATATAGTCTCTTAAACCACGGATGTGGGATCATTAAATAAACTGTTTCATGTCCTCGTGACCGTGAAGGAAGTCTCCTGCATGTGAGGGGAAGTCAGCCAGTCTAATCTGCCATTTAACGGAGAACGCTTGGTAGTCTGGACTAACGCCATTATCATCCCAGGGTTCAGTTCGGAGTATTAAGGCATTCCCACAATGTGCAGGCAACAACTAACCTAAGTACTGTACTGAAAGGTGGCTGATGATGCTCCCCCGCGAGGTGCGTCAGGATTATTTCCATCCTGCTAAGGACTGCTCAGTTTCTCACGTCGCCGTGGAAACGGGTCTTGTCAAAACCCCATTATTGACTGTAGCATTGCTATTGTCCCATCTTCTGATTCTGGGAATTGCTTTAACCTGCTGTGAGAATTGATTGGCAAGAGGCTACTCTTGCACATGAGGACCCAAGAATTAAGGTAGGCGCATTGTAGCTCATTTACCGGAATTTCTTTGGTGTAGGCAAATGGTTCCACAAAAATACTTACCGAATGGAACTTCTACTGATTGCCAGTAATATCTTACTTATTTTAGAGAAGACAAGTTAGGCCTTGTTTCTGAATAGCTTGAAATGCTGATTTTTGAGAGCTGAGTAACCATCCATCAGTGTTTACTTGCCTGAAGCCCTGGGGCACTGGGATAACCAGACAGCCAACACCTGAGTGAGGTATAAAGTGGCTGAGAGAAATGGTTCCTGCGGTGTGTTTCCTGATCCTTTAATGTGCTGACATTAGTATAAACTAATGTACATATTTCAGCCTGGCTAGGATCTGTGAAAAGTATGTTTGTAACTAGAGTTAACACCAAGACAAAGGCCTAGAGCAATACACGCGGACTGCATGCACCTGAGTTTTGGTCAAATCTGTGGACTATAAAAAAGGGGTGGGGGGAGATTTCTTCTGCCTCTTTGGAGAGAAATTCCTGCTGGGCTGTTGTATGTAGGCCTCACATTCTTTAAAGGGTTTGGGCTTCCAATGGCCAGATACTAAATTGACTAATCAGAATTAAGAATATAATTTTTAACATGTATCATGTAATTTATTTTTACTTTGAAGCAAGATGGAAAGTTGCCTTTCGTTCCTCTGGAGGAAGAATTTATTATGGGAGTTTCCAAGTATGGTATAAAAGTATCCACATCAGATCAGTATGTAAGTAATTTAATTAAAGGGGGAAAAAATGTGTTTTTAGGCACTGGGGACGTCAGGCCAGGGAGGCCCCTCCTGTGGTTAGGTCTGCTCCTGTTGGCAGGGTGGTTTGTAAACATTGCTGGCAGCTGGTCTTAAGTGACCAGTTTTCTAGGGTAAATGAGTAAGAGCTTTTGCTTCAGTGTGTAGGGCCCAAGCCAACACCCCCATTGCTGGCCTGTAGCGCATTTCAGTAGGACCCTGGGCCAATTCGGGGTAGTTGGCAGCTTGGAAGCTGCCACAGAGAACAGGACTCTGGGCTAGATCGCCTCATTCCGTCTTTCTAGAACTTGAGTAGGACGGTATGATCCTAAAGGCAAATTGCCCCTTAACTGAGCATACCGGAACGTCCCTTTGGGTGAAAAAACCTGTAAAACGACTTTCTGCCAGACCCAGGGACGGACATGCTCTGTCTAAAGCCTCATGATAGACTCTGCACTGGAAAACGTGCTCCGTTAGAGGGTTGGAGAAGCACGGAAGGAGTGAGATCTCTCTTCGCCCTGACTTTTGCAGGACGTCTTGCACAGGCACGCTCTGTACTTAATCATCCGGATGGTGTGTTACGACGACGGTCTGGGGGCAGGCAAAAAGCTTACTGGCTCTGAAGACCACAGATGCAAGCAACGAGGAATACAGCCTGTGGGTTTATCAGTGCAGCAGCCTGGTGAGGCTCTCAGTTACCTTCGTTAGTTACTCATCAAACAGATCGGCAAGACCAGAGACCATTTAGTCTTCTGAAAGGCTGAAGAGCTGCTCTCTGCCATGCACCTGATCCCTGACGGGACATAAAGAATGAGCGTATCGGGCCCCGGGCCCGCCAGCTGCCCAGACCCGCTGCGGGCTGTTAGGCCAGGGGCAGCTCACGGTTCAGAGGGAAAGCGGTGTGTCCTCCACGGGCAGAGCCCTGATCTTCGGTACCTTGTTGTTCTGACTCGTGATGGTCCCTCCCAAAGGCTGCGGGTCCCCTGTTACCATGTGCAGTTCTCTGAGGGAACACGGGGCCTGGGCAGGCTTGTCCTGGACTTTCCAAAACCGGTGAAGAGCAGGTTTAGGGGAGGTGCTGGGAGGATCAAATTTAGTTCAGGAAGAGACTGATGAACTCTCTTACTTTATCTTTCCACTTAACGTAGGAACAAGCACAAGCAATCTGCAAAGTTTTATCCACTGCTTTTGACTCTGTACTGACATCTGAGAAACCGTGAAACCTGCAATCAAGGGGAAGCTGACTTCATGCGAAAGTTCAGCTGTTTTCTAAATAGTCCTGTTTTCAGTCTGCAGTGTTGAACTACTAAAGGAATATGAGTGATCCTCTGCTCTAGGTTTTCTGAAGAAAATGCAATGAATAAAATATCAGTCATTTGTTTTTCTATTAAAATGTGTCTAACAGTTAACTCTTCGATGTTATCTACCTACTGGGACTGAAAAAAAAAAGAAATGTCATTTGTCACTTTTAAGCACAAATAAGCTTAACGGTGCACTTAGGGAGTAATGCACATTAAGAACTTTCTGAGGAAGACCAGGGCAGTCTGTACTGCAGCACTCGCTGGCGACGTGGTCTCACTGGCTCGGAGCTCTGGTCAGGCAGAGGTCTGGCCTGGGGACCTGGGTCATGCTGTTCTGAAACTGTTACTGCCAACTCAAGACATAAAAAGTAAAATATGAAAGTGTATCATCAAGATAACATGCTAGTAAACCACAGTAATTCTCTCAGGAGTTAAGAAAACCTTAAAAGATTACTGCTTATGTTAAAAGTCACAGTATTTAGACCTTATATGGAGTCAGATTTTTTCTTTTCTATTATAGTATATTCTATTTTTATGTTTTAAGTTTATAAGAATAAAGTTTAGCCTTTTCCCATTTAAAAAAAAAAGTCACAGTATTTAAAGAGCTCATGTACAGAAGGCCAGTGTATTTTTTTAAAGGACTGTTTTTATATCCAGTGCTTTACGAAAGATTAAAAACACCAAACACTACATCCATTTAAAAGTATTTTATTTTTTCTAGTCAAATGACTAGTTAACAAGAAGGGTAAATGTATTCAACATGCTCGAATTATAAGTCACTGCATCAGGACAATGACAGTAAGAATGGATCAGGTTACACAATATATACAGTTGCACTGCAGCTAGGCCAGTGATCAGGTGAATGAACTGATTATCATACATCTCGACTAGCATCACTCCAAGCTGCATGTTGTGTTATCCACCCCTCAGCGTCACACAGTAACTGTTAGTCTGTGGACACATTTCTGAGTCGCCATCCCTTGAAGTCAGAACTGATGGAACGTGGCACACACAGTGCCGGCATCCTGCAGCTAAGTCCGTGAAACATAACTTTAAATATAAATAGGTATCTACAATGTTTTCCTTCCTCTCAGTTGCTTTTCGTTGAATTTGCAAAGAGCAAATAACTAAGAAAGGATATTAGCAGGGAAGTTAATATAATTTCTCCTCTGGCAAGAGTAATATTAATTACTGCACAATAGCACCACCAAACTGTAGACTGGAAAAGTATTTCCGAGATATTTATGTACCAGTGAACCTGACAGATTCATTTGGGACTGGTGTTCAAATGTTGAAATAAATCAACTTTAATTCCTTATTTAAGCTGGCACCAAGTAGTCCAAAGGCTGATTGTAAGGTACAGAGTGGAGGACTGTGTTAAAATACACATATGAAGTGCACTGTGCAAAATACATCTGTTTACTTTCTTAAATCTATGAGAGAATTAACTTAAATGAAAGGTTCAAAACAGAAATTAACAATTAGTGAAAACAGATGTAGTGCTTTTAAAAAAGACTTTAATTACAGATCTAACAGATTTTTACCCGAAACTTTGAAAGGCAAAAAACGCAGTTGCCATACGACATCATAAAACATTCCAGTTTGTTGTCTTCCTTTATAATAATAATAATAAAAAATACAATGCAAAATTTAAAAAAAAAGCTCTACACTTGCAAGAGTCTTGCGTAATAAAGACGGGCTGCTTCAATCAAAGGTACCATCGTAACAAATGCAATAAAAGCATCGTTGCCTTGCTTTCCAAGCCTCTTAAATTTACTCTTTTTCTTTTGGTAAAAACCTAAGTAGGCGTTACATGTCTACTTATTCTCAGAGTGCCAAAACTGCCGATATTCCTACTACGAACCTTATGCTCACAATTACTAAACAGGTATGATAGTCAAGTTCATTAAACTAATGAATTTTGATTTTAGCATATACAACCTAATCCCCCCACCCCCAGTAGCTTCAGTTCAGAATGGTATGATGGACTTCAATAGTTAAACTGGGACGTCTGGGAGTATTTTATTACCTGGGACCTACAGATTTCTGATGTGCTCTTGATTACAAACAAATGGACAGATTAAATTTCAAGACAGTGTAACTACCATTCCTGTTGGTATATTATATAAATACAAGACACTAAATTGAGTAAACATTCTCTTGAGCTAGAAAGGGAAGGCAGTGGTACACTCAGTAGGAAACAGCAAGTATGTGGTAATACGGGGTGAGGTGGGGCGGGGGTCTGCGCCACGGTACTCTGTGTGACGGGGGAAGATCAAGAAGGCAAATTCCAAAACACCTAAAGCATATCAACTAGTTTAAAGAACTGTTTTGCAATCCATCATCCTTAGTTTTTCACCAGATTCAGGAAGTTTGGTTCCATCATCTAGAGCTGAGTTAACTGCTATGACATGGGCTGTAACAAACCATCCGTAGTCAGGCTGAGCAGGATTGTTCACGGCGGTCACACACATGCAGAACACAATGAAAGCTGCCACCTCGCACATTAGGGCTGGAAAGTACAATGCTTATGGAGGAACTTCCAAGTTGCTTTAAATAAACACTGGGTGGATTTCTTCAAAAGAAATCTTGAAAGGTATCTTTTTAGAAAAAGTCTTTAAAGGTGAACCGAAGCATTTTATCTAGAAAGTCCAGGCTGGCTGTGGACTTCTAAAGCGACAGGCTTCCTCTAAAGAGTAACTGTGCTAAAGGTCACTGACTTCAGGAATGGGCCAAGGAGAGTGCAAATTTCTTCCCAACACTCAAAACATTTTTAGGTTCGGCTAATTCTGTAGATTCAAGGATCCTGATTATTGTAGTTAAAACAACTTTTCAGTTCACCTTGTAGGAAATTCAGTTTTTCCTAATAAAAGTATAGCAATGTTTCATGAAAAACACAAATTATAAAAACAATTCATTGATATATATAAATTGCCTTTGAGTTTTTAAAACAGAACAGTGGCATTAGAGAAAGTGGGCTACTGTACAATTCATGGAACTGGTTATCTGGCAAGAGTTTTGGTACCAATAACGAAACAGAACAGGACTTTTAAAAGAAGTGTTTTTGTTCAGTAGCAATTTAGTCAGCAATAAAGTGCACAAATGACACGGGAAATGCTCCTTTGCGACCGGGATCTCCATCAATGTGGCCAATCTGAAATGAATAAAAGTTTAGGTTGTTATAAAAATTCCAAATGTTGGAAACTCTGAAGGGTACTATAGCATTTGGAGAAAAAAAAGAAAAGATCTCTTGGTAAGAATCTCTTCTGGAAAGAATTATTTGGGTAAAACATCTAAACTGTCTTCCTCTTTTCTTTCACTCGTGTACCAAACACTGTGGTCTACATATTAGAGGGGAGTCAGTGTGGGGATGGGGCACCTACCACAGTCCTGGCGGTCTTGAGGGGCAGACAAGACAGGAGCTGACCACTGCCCGTCCCTACTTTTTTTTTTAATGAAGAAACTGAGTGTCAGAAGTTTGTAAGCTGCAAAGTCACTTAGTGACAAACATGATTTGGCCCTATTTAAATGTAGTCAAGCATTTATGAAAGACTTCAATAAATCTATTTCCTTTGTGCTGGGTAAATTATAAAAGCTACACATCAATCTGATCTCAATGTCAATCAAGTAGGCAAATAAAAGGCTAAAAGAAAATCACCACAACTTAAATAGTGTTTTTGTGTGTGGGGGGAGGAGAACCCTTGAGATTACAGGCAGCATTTCCTTTTTCTTTATAGCTTTCTGTATTTTCCAGATGGTTAAACCTGTGGTCAGGCTGGAGGCCATCCTTGGGTGGATCACACACAAGTGTGAAGCCAGACCTGCCTCAGGTCTCAGGGGTGTGCGGGCAGCAGGCGGGGAGGGCGGGAGTCAGGCAGGGGTGGAACCGGGCTGTGTGCTGCCTGCAGCGCCGATGGTGCTGGAAGGAGCAAGGCCGACGGAGGAGGGAACTCTGCACCGACGGACACCTGAATCCCTCGAGCAGGGAGAGGCAACAGGAAGACCCTGAATCCAGAGGCTTTGGTGCCAGGCCGAGTTCGTTCACAAAAGCCCTGCAGGCGACAGTTCCCACAGGCGGGACCTCTGCCAGGGGTACTGGCCAACACTCCTCACATTCAGCGCGGAGCTGTTTCTAACAGCCCTGTCTGCGTCCTGCTGACAACCGGGAACCATCTGCTACCTCAGCTCCACCCCCAGAGCTGGGTCATCAGCATCCCCCATGTGGCAGACACTGCCGGAGGCACACGCGTGGGAGCTGCTGAATCATCGCCCCACCTGATAACGGCCGCCTCTCACCCAGGCCTCCAGGTCACCGCTACAACAGGCCATGACCTCCCTTTCTTGGGTGAGGCGGTAAGGCTTAGCCATGTCAGCAACTCGCCAAGGCACCCAGCCTGACCTTGGCCGGGTCTGGGCTCTCGGGGTCACCAGGGGAGGTGCCACGCTCACGCACTCCAGCTCCCACCTGGATGCCACGGCATGTCTCAGGACCAAGCCTGACATCCAGCGACTGCCCCCAGGTCAGCTCTTTCCACCCGCCTCACTCCTCCAGACTGGCCCACGCCAGAGGACAGTGCCACCGAGAAACTCCAGGCTTCGTGCAAACCTTCACGTGCGCTCTGGAAACTGCAGCCTATGTGGTCTGCCCACCCTGATGGGGATCCCACCTGGGGGCTCAGTCAGGCCCACTCAGAAGCTGGGGTACCTGGAAAGGACGCCTGAGGCCCGTCCGGGCAGAGCGGGCTGGATCTGGGCATAGACCTCCAAGCCCCGACTCACCCACCACTCCTGGTCCTCCTCCCCATCCACGATGATCACATCCCCCTCGGAGAACGTCAGCTCGTCCGGATTGTCGGCCACGCAGTTGTAGAGGGCTTTGACCCGCTTTGGCTTCAGCTTGGTCTGTGTCAAGAGAAGAGGGGTCAGACCTTAGTGTGCGGGGAGGCGCCTGCTCCCGGGGAGAGAACTGACTGGTCCTGAGGGCCTGCCTGCAGGCCGGGGAGCCCACAGGTGTCCAGGGGCGGTTCGGTGTGGCTCAGGGGCAGGGGGACTTCAGGAGGAGGCCAGTCGAGTAAGGAGAGCTGGGAATGAGGCGGCCCAGTGCCTGGCGTGCACATGGGGTCTGTCCTGGAGCGTGGAGGGCCCAGCCCAGCAGCTGGTGAGCTCTAGGTTGCATCCTCCTGGATCCAAAGGACCAGGCACCCAGGAAGAAGCACCCCCTACCCCGATCCAGGGTAAGAGGGCAAGACTGCTTCCCTGAGCCCTCAGAGAATAACCCACACACTCCTGGCCAGAGCAGAGAGGCACAAAGAAGGGGCTCGTCCACTTACAGTCTGTGACTTCCTGGGCATGGGCGCTGGGGGCTGCATGACCACGGCGTTGGACAGAGGACCCAGAGCTTCTGTTCCAGAGAGATCTGCTGCTTGAGGGCCAAAAGGCAAGTTTCCTGAGATTTTCTAATTGTTGAGGGAAAAGTCCCTCGAAGACCAAAGACCCTCGTCCCTGCCTGTAACCTCTGCAGAGCGGACAGGCCGGCAGGTGTCACAGCGGAAGGTGGGTGCTGCCCCCTCCAGGTCCCGCCGGGGTCCCCCGCCCGCCCCCTATCACGGCAGAAGGGGACGGGAGCGAGGGAAGGGTGCAGAGCAGCCCCGGGGCAGGGGCGTGAGAGGCTGTGCACAGGATGGGTGGCTGCTGATGCAGGACAGCTGGGCCTGATGTGGGGCTGACCCCGCCTGGAAACACCCCCACCCCATCCCCACAGCCCAAGCAGAGATTAGCCCCCTTTCACATAATTACCAGGTCCTCTCGGCTGGCCTTTGTTGCTCAGTGGGGTTGACTTGTCAGGCCTGCGAAGAGGAAAACAGATTTATTGGTACCTGAGGCCTGAAAGGCACGTTACCTGCCCCACCTCCCTCTCTTTTTCTGAAGGAGTTGTCTATGTTCAAGTTGAAAACAGGTGGGCTGATTTTATCAATTGTCATTCAACTATCTCCATTTTTAGAAAAAGGAAGAATGAGAGGCTCAGAAGACAGTTCTAGATCCAAGGTACCCGGTTCCAAAACCAGGATGGTCCCAAAGCTCTCCTGTCCCGTGTGGGCCTGCTGCCAATGACCTGGGTTTGGGCTGGAACCTGGGCACCAACCGGGTCAGTCCCCTCCCAGCGGGGACTTGGTCTCTTCCTGCGTCAGGGCGGGGCTTATCAGTCCCAGGGCCCCAGGGGGCTCTACCAGGACCCATCCAGGCACCGCTGGCCAGGGTCATCCATGCTTCTGGACTCTGTGACCCCGGTGCCTGTAACAGACGTGACTCAGTGTAGCTCAGGCCCAGCTATGAGCCCTCGGACCCGACACGTCCCAGGGCCGCAGACACACAGGGAGGGGAACCAGCTCCCAGGGCCGACAGACAGGGGTCTATGAACTCCGACTTGCCAGGTGGGTCTGGATGAACTGGTTTCTGTGAGTCACCATTTTCACCTGCAAAAGGTGTGACACTAGCCCCACCAACTCTCAGAATAAGGACAAGTGACAGAGTATCTGTGATGAGCTGAGAAAGAACCCTTATCTCCAGTTCCCTGCATGGAGCCAGGCACACAATCGGGGCTTGACATGGGATGGGAAGGGGCTGGAGGGCAGAGGAGGCGGATGGGGGACCAGTGAGGGATGGAAGGCCCTTCTGTTGCAGGCCCGCTCTGTCTGACGCTTCCTTCTCTGTCCAAAGGAGCCCTGCCTAGGCCGTGGTGCTGCAGCCACAGAATGGAGATGGAAATAACACTGCTTTTGCTCATGTTTTCAAGGAACTAAAAAAGGCAAAACAAGCGAAGGCCCCCACCAGTCTGACCAGTCTCACCATTTGTTTTCCATCAACATCAAGATAGAAATCATGCTGAGCCTGCGGATCCTTTGTCATCTCCCCAACTACAAAACGCCCACAGGGAAGGCCTGACCCTTGAGACACTGGTCAGCAAGCCTTTTCTGTAGATGGCCAGAGAGTGAGTGTTTCAGGGTTTGTGGGTTACAAGGTCCCTGTC